GGAGGTAGGAGTAAGCTAATTTTACAATTTGTTCCTGAAGTTTAAAGCATTTACGATATAAACAAACACATGCATACATAGGTCTGTTTGAGTATTAGCCTTTAAAGATCTGTGGCAGCAATAGAGTTATATGATTTAATTGAAAATATGAATTTGTAAGCTATCATTTACTCATTTGTTTATTATGAACAAATATTTTATACTGATTCTCAGCATTGTCTGATGGTGAATAACAGCTTTCAATTTCTTTCATACCCACAAATTGTGAGTTGAACAAGATGTATCCCCACATCCCCTCTTCTATTAATAAGAAGTAGTGCATCACTATAAGATATGTTAATATCTCTACTGTACAGTACTTCAGTATACTTCCATCTTCATTTGATTTCCTTTGAATTGGTTACTAATTGTCCACTGGCATCCTTTAGCATTTCAGTTCAAGGCTAGAACCTCCTACTGTTTCTCGTCTCTTCTAACATCTCTCTGAAACTCTCTTTAAATTCATTTCTGAGATTTTTGTCCTCCTTGGCTTTGGCTTCTTTTTACTTCTTGGCAATTTCCATGATTTGTTCTGACATTCAGTTTGCTTTCTTCTGTTTCTTTCTTTTTTCTTGGTAATCTGTTTTCACATTCATCCTTAATTACTTCTTTAAGTTCACTCCATAATTTCTCTGGCTTTCTGTCAATGAGGTTCAGGACTTCAAAATGATTCCTGGTGTTCTCCTTGAAAATGGTGGGTATACATTCAAAATCATATCTTGGAAGCTGACTGGCTTTCTTCTTTAGCTTAACTTGAAACTTGCACATGAGCAATTTGTAATCTGTTCTACAGTCAGCACCTGGCCATGTGTTTGATGCTATAATTGAGCTTCTCCACCTATTGTCAATGTGATTTCTGTATACTTCCATCTGTTGATGTCCATGTAAAGAGGCATTGTTTTGATTGTTTGAAGACAGTGTTAGCTATGAAGAAATTATTGGAGTGGCAGAAAGTGGTAAGTCGGTCTCCTGCTTATTTTCGTTTTCCTAATCCATACAGTCTAACTACATTTTCTCCTTTCATGTTTCCGACTTTGGCATTCTGTCTTCAATCATAAGCAGCACATCTTACTTGCATGTTCTGTCAATTTCACATTGCAGTTTAGGATTTTCTTTTCCTGTATCAACATCATCAACTAGACGTTCCAAAGGCTTTAATCTAGTATCATCAGCATGTTGATGATTCCAAATCCCAAATTAGTGGATGACCTGACCCAGCGGTTTCATGTAGATGTTAAACAGGAGGAGAGAATGTTGAATCCTGTGGCACCCCACAAAGGGGGGCTGAGGGAACAACTGGCCACAAAGGAAAGATAAGAACTATAAAATAGTGTCCCCAATTCCAAAACCTACAGTCAGTCCGAAAGGCTACCCTGATTGACTATTATCCACCAGTGAGTCTGAGATGCAGGCTGGCCTTCCTCCCAACTTTAAATTTTGAAAGGAAGATATTGTAGGAAGGCTATCTTGTTAATTTTGTGTAGCAAAAATCAGAAAGAGTCTGGTAGTACTTTTTACATAAATCAATTTTTTAAAAACTTAAGCTTTCATGAACTACAGTTCATTAGATTCATAGAGTGGCTTGACTGATATGAGATTAAAATATATAGGATGGAGTGGAGGTAGGGGGAAAGGAAAGAAGATAGGGTAGTGATACAAATGAAGGTTCCATGGGAGACAAATTACAAGCATGTTATCAATTTACAATTTTAAGGTATTAAAAAATTCACTGTATTTGTTTAGGACTTCTGAAATAGCCTGAAACTTCTTGATGTGAGTTCAGCTGTCTCATGCTCAGTTTTGCCAGCAAAGTTAGGGCCATGTATTACATTAGAGAAAGAGGATGTGGAGGAGCCTTTAACCTTGTGTGTGAAGTTGTTGAGGTCTATGATTGTCCTGTTGGTGTAAATGTGGGGCAAAGTATATGTCTGAGCTTGTTTCAGAGTTTGGTTCCCATGTTGTTCATTTACTTCTTTACTGGAGCTTTTATTCCATTCCAATCCATAGGATTCTGTTTGATGAACTGTGCTTATTTATACTTCATTTATGAGTGCTCCTTTTTCTCTTAAAATAGGATGTATTGACACTGATTTTATAATATAATTCATTTTAATATCCCAGCTGATTAAAAATAAATAGTGCATGTCTGAACGTGCATAACAATCACACTTTGTAAATATCAGATTCTACTTCCAAGTTTCTATCAAATAATTTTAATGTGTTAAAATCCCATTGTGTTTGTTGAGATATTCTGATATGGCCTGAAACCATTTGATGTGAGTTCAACTGTGCATTTTACACATTACATTTGTTAATTGATAAAGTATATGTATCTTATCTGCATCTGCATAACTACTTTGCATGTAATCTGCATCTGTATAACTACCCTGTCATTTCCTCCACCTTTCCCCCTAACTTCATCCCAGATTGAATCATAGATTCAGTTTAGTCACTCTGACAAAGTAAGCTGCAGTTCATGAAAGCTTATATCTTTTAATAAAATGTGTTAGTCTGAAAAGATGCTACCAGATTCCTTCTGATCACTGGAATGCATGTGACTCAACCACATAGTACATTAATGTGCTATTAATCATCTTTTAAAATAGTTTTTCTCCTTTTTATTTAATGTTATTTTTTAAAAAGAGTAGGCAAAAAGTATATTACTGCTTTGGTGTTAAAATTCTATAATTGGAAAAACTTAAAACTTATTAACAAGTTTTAAATCAGTTTCTAAATTAGCTCACATATATTTTTTCATTTCTGTGATATTGCACAAGTGTATATAAAAAAGCCTTTTAGTTGGCAAATTAAAACTACTACTGCTGCTACTACTGATTAAACTGCCAAAGAGAAATAGAGAGGAATACCAAGACATAAATATTTGATGAAAGACACAATTCCCTATCCCCCAAATGTTACAAGAAATGTCTGAATTGTGACTTTTCATGATGGAAGACTATCCTAAGGCAATCTGTGGAGATTGCCCTAGTCTTAATTTGTTTTGAAAATAATGGGTTTTCTGTACTCTGAAAAAAGGAAGCAGATAAGACAGTAATGATTTGATGACAGTGTCATGAAGAATCTCCTGTAAAGAGGAATTAATAAAGCATGGACATTGCAGAGTAAATATCTAGTATAATAGTACTCATGTAGGACTGAAGGAAATGGAAACAAAAATTTATGCTTGTAATTCTAGTTCTTCATCTTTCATCCTTTATGTTTTGCTGCAATTTCAACCAGTTTATACTGCAAAGTATTATTCAGTATTCTAGCCTGATGTCTTGTGAATCCATTGCACAAATACGTTTGCTTATACTATAGAAAATAAGTTTCTTATACTGAAGGGCCACTTAACATATTTGTACCAGCACTGGACTATCCACCAATCTTTTGTCAGCATAGAAGTAGACATTGCATATACTTCCAACCTTTTCAGAAGCACAGCTGACTTTCCTATATCCATTCTTTGTAGCACTTTGTGGCTTGTGAAGGCCACACCTATATTTGTAGTTCCTGATGGTCAGTTCTTCATGAGAGAACATTTTATTTATTTATTTATCTAACTTACATAGCGGCCCATCTCACAAAACCAGTGGCTCTGGGCGGTATACAACAGAGCTAAAACAAATACCTAAAACCATTATCATTATTATTAAAAACATTAAAAACTGTAAAAACAGAGATAATACAAAAATAATAGACGGGGAGATGTTAATAATAATGGAGCCACCTCGCTAGTTCACCCGTCCCCTGAGTCCCCAGGCCTGGTGACATAATCAGGTCTTCAGCGACTTTGGAAGCTCAGAAGTAATGAGGCCAACCTCACCTCCGGTGGGAGAAAATTCCACAGTGTGGTCACCACAGCAGAAAAGGCCCACTGCCTAGGGCCCGCCAAATGTCGTTCCCTGGACGATGGAGCCCCTAACATGCCCTCTCTGCTGGATCTGGTGGGACGGGCAGATGAAATTGGGGAGAGGCGGTCTCTCAAATATATCCCAACTATTGCATTCTTAACAAAGTCTGCCTTGAACAAATGTTATGTTAAAAATAAAAGAACCTGCTACGAAGGTAAAGATGGGTGGCTGAATATTGGATGTCTGTTCCTGTAGTAGTCCTGCTCCTTCTTTTAAAGGCTTTAAGTGGTGTACTTAAAATGTTCATTTGTTTTGCTTGGCAGCGCAAGAAGTCACCTTAAAACATTTTCAAATGAAATAAATTTACTTGCTGCATGCAGGTAGCTTTTGCATATTGTTAGTCTTGCATTCCAGCATTTCACAAAAATGTAATAAACGATGTACTTAAACCATGTACTTAGCAAGGGTAACTAGAGGGTTTTTTTAGAATGCAAGATAGGATTATCTTTTGTCTTCCCATAATAATATTGTGAAACCAATTTATGTTCCTTGGAATGTAATATTGTTTTCATTGTCCTTAATTTTACTAGAATAAATTATTTAATGCCATATCAAAAATGTTAAACATTGTATATGACCTTTAAATGCCACACAGTTCTGTTCACTAACTCCTGCCTCAGTTCCAGGATCTTTAATAACATGGAACTGTTTGAAACATTCATGTTTAAACTTTCTTAATTCTGTCAAAATGCTTATTTCTTGTTTGGCCATGATCTGTGTATACTGTAAGAATGCTTATTTTTCATTTAACCAGAAGTGGGATGATAAAGGTTCTTGGATTATGCATTAAATTGTTTGAAATTCTGGACTTTGTATTATGATATTATGGACAGGTGGAAGAGAATGATATGCAGATATACTGACCATATATTACAGAGCCTGATGGTGGTATCACCATGGCATAATTTAAACTACACTTACTTTTCCTTATTCTCCATTTGTTATATTCAGAGGAAATAGCAACTTTCAAGTAGAAGTATACAGATTTGTTATATATAACAAAGACATTAAAAAATAGTAACACTTCATTTCTTTTCTGTTTTCAAGCACACAGATTTATGTCAGTACATGGACAAACATCCTGGAGGACTTCATCCAGATAATGTGAAGGTAAGACACTACTTTCCAAGTGAATACTATGATACTAAGTTACAGTGAGCAATAATATACTGTTAATGTAAGTAGATTATTTCTGTGCTGAAGAAAGTAGCCAGTCACCATTGGTAGCTGTAAGGTGAGGTAGGTGATATCATATACATTATGATGTCATTGTGCAAGTGGTATAAATTATGTACTGTATGTTATTTATGTCATAATATCACTGACATAAGTTATGTAATTCACACCCTTTGCATGATGATATTATGATGTGAAGTCATTTGCTATCCCCTACAACTGCTAACTTGATGCCTATAAATAATGTAATTATAAACAGGCCTTTTAATGATTAGATCTCTTGGATCAATAAAAATAATTTTATTATTTTAATTATTGATGTTTTTTTTTAAGTGGGAACGTAACAGCTACCTCCAAACTTAGTTTTTTATTTAGACATGGAGGGGTGTTATGCCCTGGCTACTTACATGGAAATCAGCCAAATTATTTTAGCATAAGTCAGTTAATCATACAGTAGCATGTATGTCAGAAATCATCCATATGCTATTTGTATAAATATAATATGCCTTGATGCTTTTCAGCAGCAAACATCTCAGAAATGCTTTATATCATATGACATACGCTGCAGTTTTTGATGTGAGATTGCAATTTAAGTTTCTCCAAGACAAATACAAATGACTTCACAGCAAAGAAACCTGTCAAAACATCTAGGTAGCCTTCAGGTATTTTGCCCCTCCCTAAAAGGGGCTGGGTCACCCTGGAAAGGGCTGATGGACACGATGCAGTAAGAGTAGTCCAAAGTGCACACTTCACCACTCTTATTGCCATTGTATAGACCTGAATGCAGGCATATACCAGTCCTGTTTTTGATCCTATGCCACTGTCACTCTAGGCAACTTTTCACTTGCTTCATCTCTTGAAACTCCCTATGTCCAAACTTAACATATTCACATTCAATCACATACTTCACATATTCACATCAAAGTCACATCCAATTGCCTGCATGAAAGTCACCTTTTACTTGTAAATTAGTTGTAGTAAACATTTTACTTGTAATTCTTTCCTGTGTTATGCTCTTTTCCACGCTAGAGGATAGAAAGCATCTGCATTGTACCCCTTTGCAATATAATTATGATTATAACCCTAAGATTGAGAACAAGATAAGATTTGATCTTGTCCTTCCCTCAGAACTACAATTCTAGTTCTAGTAGAAAATCTTCCTGTCTTCTCCTCTATAACATAGGAAGAGAAAGCTATGTTTTCATGTTACCTGTGAACTAAGCCAGAATGTAGATATTAGAATTTGATGAATATCTTTCCATTAGTAAACACACGCAAATATGGGGGGAGCAAGGTGAGATTATGATAAGGAAGGGCAAATAATGACATATGCATCATGATGTCATTGCATAATTGTGCCAATTATGTGAAGAAGCCATGAAGCACATGTCATTTTTGTATCACTATGGCTTGCTTTATATGCCTATGCTAGGAGACAAAAATACTTGATTAATATTTTCTTACTGTCCTCTCAACATTTCTTTCGGAATCTAAGGAACATTTAGAATATAATCAAAGCTTTAAAATTCTTACAGAAATACATCAAATGCTGGTTTTTGTGGAAAAGTGTAGGTTCTGTGGAGAAGGATGAGTGGTCACAATCACCTGAAAGTTTACAAAGGCATTGCTGTTGATTTATCCCTCAGTTATGACTATCCAGTAGATACATTTTTTCGTAAAAATAGAACAGAACAGAGTATAATAGAATAGAATATTAACTGAATAAAAGATATGAAAGGTGGATTTATTCAGTCTAAAACCTCTAGAACTAGGCAACCTCAGTGATTGTTATAAAAATATAGAAACTTTGGCAACTCTTTGTAAGAAGAGAGCTGTATAGTGTGATATGGTATATATACTATAGTTTGTTCCATGTGCCCACTAATTTGACTTTTCTTTAAAATTAGAGGAAGGTTTTATATGAAATTTAAATGATAATACAGGTAGTCCTCAAGTTACAATGGCAATTGGGATGGGAGTTTCTGTTGCTTGGGGTGATTGCTGCTGGGTGGGAGAGGGTGCACAAGTGGCCAGGTAGGCACAGTGCGAGCACAGTGAGGCTCAGGGAGAGTGCGAAGGTGGGGGAGACTAACCTGAGGAATTTGTGACCTTCCCTGCTGGACTCCCCATTGACTTTGCTTGTGGAAAGCTGGCAGGGAAGGTTGCAAATTGCAGTCACGTGACTGCAGGACACTGCAACTGTCATAAGTGCAAGCCGGTTGCCAAATGCCCAGATCGCAATCATGTGACCACAGGGGTGTTGGGACGGCGGTAGCTCTGAGGACCAGTCATAACCACCATTTGTTCAGCACTGTCATAACTTCAAACAGTCGCTGAACGAGTGGTTAACCAAGGACTGCCTGTAATGATATTTGACAGAATTATAGTAGCAATTTGTAGAATCTTTGTTAGAATCAAAACTGCCAGATCATAGCATGTGCCACTAGGTAGACACGTGCACCAACTTCTGACATACCTTCACAATGTGGTATGCCACAAGCAATAATATAAACTTGTAAATATCCCCAGTTATTTAAAGCAGGCAAGATAAGTAGCCTGCTATAGGGGAAATCATTGGTATACATCTGAAATTTCAGCAGTTATTTCTTCAGTTTCCTTCAGACAGACAGACCATAATTGTTGTGTTACGTATAAAAAGATTTTTAAAAAGCTCCTTTTGTTGCTACTAAAATTAATTTGTCCCACATATTTCTGCCATAAACATTATCCCTTAACTAATAGTTACATTGCCTAAGAATACCTGCTCTTGAAAATGAATAATTGTAGCTATTAATGACCAATTTAGAAATTAACAACCAAAGTAAAACCCTTAGGGCATTTGTCATCTTATAAATATTTATATTTTAAAACTATAAGTAATTATATTTGAAATTATCCCCAAACAATAAGGTGTTAGAAAGTCTTCAGAACATGCATGCAATTCATTAACATTTATTATGCATATTTTCTTTGTAAAAATAAAGATTTAAACATTTTAAATATGCCTTTGAAAGTACACGCAAAGCATATTTCCAAATACAGTTTTCCAATTCATCTTGTTACTTAAAATAATGCATTAATAGAGTCTAATAATATATCTGCTTATCTGCTTATTAATATATCTGTTAATGTGAATAATTTAAACTGTAAATAAAAGGAAAATACTTCCCAAAATTTCTCTAATTATGTTCAAGTACAACTCTGCAAGACAATTGATAAATGAAACAAAATATTTTAATTCTAATCAACATGGTGTTCATATTTTATGGCCCAATGGAAAATCTGAATTGTTTTGAATAAAGAGGAATTTGGAAGATATTTGTTTGTGTTATTAACATAACTTTTATATTGTCCATTCTCACAATGCCATAAAACATATTTAATTAAGTTTCATGACTTTGAACCTTTTAGACTGAATATAATAAGTTACTCTGTTTTGCTCTTTTTATCTGTTTGAGTAATATATTTTAGTGAACCAGTGCATAAATGAAAAAATGAATTGTATACTTAGATTTGGTTCTGTATTGGTAGGTGTGGTTCAGTGTCATAAACTACAATAGCCCTTTTAAAATATGATTATTTAAATGTATATGGGTGACAGTGTAATATGTTCATGTCTATAATTACTTTACTGAATTGGTTTGGAAGGAATTTTGGATCCATTCTGGAAACATTACATTTGAAACTTTTCAAATGAAATTATCACTTTAAAATTCTATGTCAATACATAAAGATATTTTAAAGTTAGGGATGCACATCAAAAGTTTTCAGTGTCATTGAAGTCAAGTTATTAAGTCAGGGCTAGATTTTCACATTAATTATAGTGGATATGCTAAACAGAATTATTTTCATTTAATGTAAATGATAAATTGCTGTTTCCCATTACTCTTCAGAAGATAAGCAGGTGCAAAAAAGGATAGGATAATATTATGCTAAATTAAAGCTGCCTCTTTCAGAGGGCATTGAAAATTGATTTTAAATAAGCTTTTCTGCAGATAATATGTCAAATATATAATCAATGCTCTGTTTTTGTATATTTGTCATTCAGGCATTCATTAATTACAATAAGCATGAACATCATTTATTAATAATATTTTTCCAATTTTTGTGCTTAATGAACCATCTGATGATGGATCTAGTGAAATACAACATTCTCCTGAACTTGCATCTTTAAAAAATAATTTGCCACCTTTTTCCCTTATAAGCATAAATATAGACATCTACAAAAAAAGATGAAAACAGTTTTGAAAGAGCCACTGATTATGAAGAATGAAAGAACCTTTTCACTTAATTTATTAAGAGGAAAATATCCTTATTAGCATTAGCAGATAAGAGTAAAATAATGCTAATAAATCAATCCTACACTGCAAATTAAGTATTCTTTGTTGTCACTACTAAGATCACCTTAGCATTCAGTCCCTCATCATTGCTACTATATGTCTCTTTGATCTGTCATTTGTTACTGGAAAGGATAATCCACATTATTACAAAGCTCACTCTTTTGGATTTATGAAAATATACAGTATATATTTTCGGCATTCACTGAAACTCTTCCTTTCTCTGCTTCCGTTCTTTTTAAATTAATTATATTCTTGGACTGCTGTGTTTTAATAAGCCAATTAAAGCACTTCTACTTTTTCATATGGAGCATATATTTTTATCTGCAGTCTTTATTTCAGGATTTTTGTCTCTGACTTCCTCAGGATTCTTTCAAAGCCTTCCTGATCAAGCTTGTCATGGTTCAGCTAAATCCTTTTTTTTTTTTTTTACAAGTTATTTCTTCTGAAGTACAAGGCAGCTCACAGATACGAATACCACCTGAGCCCCATATTCTTGAACTTTCCTAGATATTAAAAGGCCATGGTGATACAGATGTAGCTGCTCTTGGCATTATCATTTATCTCCACACAGATTAGCAGAAGGGATCACTGTCT